TTGTGCATTAGAAGGTTAATTGCTTAGCATTGTAGATGTTTATATTCATGATCTTAACCACAAATCAAAATTTTTTAAGTAAATACAACTCGTTCAAGCTCTTTCTCCCTTAATTAGAAGAAAACCCCACATGTAAATTTCCTATACTCATACCATCTCATAGATAAGGTTGTATGTCCATTTTTCTGTGTTCTTGTTCGTGATGATTACAATGATTGCATCCACGCTGCTATCTAGAGTTCCAGAGGGAGGAAATGACAGGAAAAGAAGGAAAAGAAGGAAAAGTGCGGGGTAGAGGTATAATGGGGAAAGGGACCCCCAGAAATGAGTGGCTATAAGTGAGAACGATGGGTGTCTGTCAACATTTAGAATGATAACCATGGTTTCCTTTTCTCTTGGAAGTACTTAATTTTGCTGCTGACGAAGAGCTAGGGCCAAGGTATGATTATGATTCAAGCATAATCATGGTGTTGAATTTTCCCTTGCTTTCTGCAAGAAAATTAGAGTCATATTCATATTTTCTAATGACTTCAGAATCTAAAAGCTCAGTACTCAAAAAAAGAAAGGGGATACTCAGAATCACCATTCAGATTCATCAGACCAACATACTTCCATGCAAGAGATTATAAGATGTATGATATTGAATCAATAGGTAGAAGAATGACTATATAATTGTTTAAACACGACGTAGCTTCCTTAGGTAAACAACTTTATGAACACATCAGTGAGATTTGTTATTACGATGGGCATCATGGGCTCATGCTACAAAAGACAACAAATACTCGAGATTTATCTAGGAACATAGAAAATGCATTAAAATGAGATTTATGCTATTGACAACCAAACATGGTTTCGTTAGAACATTTGTGAAGGAAAGAATCTGTTTCAGTGACTTAACTACTACAAATAGAATAAAAATTTTATAGAACAAAAGATGATCCTTACCACTTGAATGACAAACTCCGAGCACAGAGAATGGACAACAAGGACATGCTAAGATTATGGAGTGTAGGGCAACGACAAGGCCTTCATGGGAACCTCATTTGTGGATGCACCATAGGCCTTTTCCTTTAATTCTTCAAGAAGTCGTTTGGCTTCTTTGAGCTCATCTTCTTCACTTGGTCCACGTCTTTCCCAGATGTCAATTACTCACAGCTGGAATTCCATTGCAAAGGTATAGCTACAATACCCAGAAAATGGATTACAGACCATATTTAGTTACATTAACATCCTAATTTTATATAATCCAAGGCAAAGTTATATTGCATCTTGGGGATTATAAGCTTGTTCCGTGAGACATGTAAACATGATATATACTTGCAGTTGTACATCAATGCTTGCTTCTCAAGTTCCTGAGATGCCTAAGAATAAGTGCTACGAAAGTCTTGCATGAACATTTATGTTTAGCACATTAGTTTCTTCGAGAAGTAAATTACAGCTTTTGTGTTGATGTGAATAAAAGTAAGGACATGCAGGAAATAGACGTTTATTACTTACCCCAGGATCTTTCACATTTTGACCTCCTTAAAACCTAGTTGCTTGCCTGTTGGTAAAATATACATAAGCGTTATCCTTTAGCATTGCCTCAGGCTAAATTTTCATGACATGGTACTCTAATATAGACAAGGCATCTTCAGTCAGTTAAATTAGCATTATGTTGATGGAAGACAGTGGATAAACAGGTAACCAAAAATATGAATAATCTGTCTCATGGCACAATCTGGAGCACAGCTTTTCTAGGCTTGCTACATATATGTTAGCTTGAGGTGATTTCATTATATTTCGTTAAATGAAGGAGCAGTAATTAGCAGATGAGGTAACAGAAACAAGGTAACAATGAGGATAAAGAAAAAGGCAACTTTGAGCAATGATGGAAAAGGAGAGAGGGTCAAAAAGTAGTAAGAAAGCCTAGTGCCACCGAAAAGGTAGCTCCTCAACTTGATTTCCCGATAACATCCCTTAATTTACTCTAAAAATTGATATGTATGTCATTATGTAGTTTGATTTATGTGTCAATAGAAAATCACTTGAGATGTCAATTATATGAAAGAGAAGAAATCTTTTTTTGACAGTCAAGAACAAATTAAAAACCCAATGTGTAGAAGTAGAACTGCTTTTACACAACAGGCCATAACCAGGCAGACAGAGTATTGGTAATAAAGGTCTAGATAAACACTCAAATCTGCAGTAACTTCCTGTTAATACAGGCCTCAAACAACACTGCACTGAGACTACCATCATTGGGATGAGAGATTTTACTGTATAAAACCACCCAAAAGATAAGGATACAATTATATCAAACTACTAGTTCATTAGATGCAAAATTGTAAGGCAACTCCAATAATAGGGAACTGACAAAAGCAACGGACTAGGGAATAAAACCAGAAACCAAGCAAAGAACTCTTACCTTTTCTTGGCACCATATGCTTTATAAAGGTTCTGACAAGCTTCAATTGAATCTGCATGATTGGGACCAAATGAGACATCCGTAATGTCTCAACTGCAAAGACTTGTGCGGCAGACTGCAGTCTGTCTAGCTCCAAATATATTGCCCCCAGATTGTTGTAAATATATCCTACTCCAAAATGTTTGGAACCAAAGTTCTCTTTCAATCTCTCCACTGCACTCTCTAAGTAAGGAATTGCCTGTAGCACCTTACCTGTCAACAGGAGTAACCACCCTAGTCTGGCAGAAACGCTGCCCTCTGAGTGCTGTTCTTGAGATTGCTTCTCAAGGCAAATGATCTCTTTAGCAAGGAAATTGCAGTCTCAAATTCATTCATTTCTCATATTGCATGGATATCTTCTGAATATGCTTCAGCAACTTCAAGCGGGGAGTCCATTTCTTTCTTGTCAAGTAACCCACAAGCAATTTCCAAACATCTCTTGGAATCTCCAAACTTTTCCTGATTACATAATGGCTTAGCCATCAAAATAAAAATTAGCACTCGATTCTGACCATCTTTCTCTGTCTGGTTAACCACGCCCTTTACAGTATTAATAGCTTCATCAAACTTTCCCAACGCAATCTGCATGTTTGTAGCATCTACCTCTGCTCTGCACGATGCAACTCAGAACTAAGACCCCCAACTCTTCAATACTTCGTGTGATAACAAGTTCTGCTCTAGTGCCTTCTGATGCTCCTCCAACCCAATATAAATGACTCCCAAGAAGCCTCATGTGCAACCTCCACTGAGTTCTCCCCCAATTCGTTCTTATGTATCTCCAATGCCTTCAAACCATATGGCAAGGCCTCCTTTAAAATTTAAAACTGCAATATAGGCCTCAGCTAGATTCCTACATGCCACGCCAAGTTCCTTACTATCTTTCTCGAGCATGATCTCCTTTATCTCCACACATTTCCTAAGTTTCCCAAGCCCTTCCTTCCTCCTCCGCACCACTGTCTTCAACACTGGTCTAATATCTTTAACACTAACACCCTCTTCCTCTAACCTAACTAGTAAGTAGTAACATATTAGCCCTTTAAGATAATATCCCAAACTATCACTGAACTTTTTAAAGCTATAATTAACTTAACGGAACCCAATAATTGTAAAGACATGGCAACAGGTAAAGAAGGGTTTATCATCTTTATCCAATGCTTTCAAAGCTTCAATTACAGAAGAAAGCTTTTTCTTGGTCCTCACCTTCTTGGAAAAGTTTAAGCCCAACTTTTAACGAAGCCAATCCAAGCTCCTTATCATCAAATGAAGCCTCCATTTCTTTAAAAGCTCCGAGCATCTCCTCAGTGGTTTTTGCAGATTCAAAAGCCTTTTCAAGATCAGATTTTTGTTTGGCATTACTCTACCTAGAAGACAACTGAGCTGATTTCTCCACAAGGGTGTCAAGAATTCCAGATGGGTGGATCAAGCCATGGGTTTTGCTGGAGGATTTGAGGTCCTGGGCAGGCGAGAGAAGTGATACAGAAGAAGAGGAAAATTCAGAAATGTAAACTTCTATAGACAACGTGTCCATGGCGAGCAAAGCATGAGAGCAGTGAGATTGAATCTCTTTTCATGGTCAGGATCTGAGATGGAGAGGTGTGTAGAATTTAAGAGTTTCAGTTTCTGTTAAACCCTTTTAAAACCCACTTTGTTTGGACTGAGGAGGTTGGAGGGGAAGGCGAGGACAATGAAGGGAGACAACTTTTTCTGTTTATATAAATAATTTTAATGGAAGGAAGGCTAACGAAGGGAAACGAAATGTCTTTCTTTTTATGTTTTTAATTTTTGATATAAAAAATTGAGATGGATTATATTATTTAATTTATTTTTAATTTTATTTTTAAAAAATTAAATATATAAATATTTTATTTTAATTATTCATTTAATTAATAAATTTTAAAAATTTTATTTTTTGTTTTATTTTTTATTAAATTATTTAAGTAAATAAAAATATTATTTTTTTCTTCCATTTTTATTTATCTAAACAAAACTAATATTAACTTTTCTTTTCCTTCAATTCTTTGATCAAACCTAACTTCTCTTTAATATCTAATAATTTTTATGTCGTCAATGACAGAAACACAACTTATACCCTTCTTTTTTGGGTTAACATTGGTGAATATGAGGATTAAGGAAATTTTTTGCAAAGCAAATGTCATCCATGTGAGTTGACCTTGCCACGGATTTGGGTGCACCAACCATCGTCAGTTGCAAGGGCCTCCTTCAAAACTTATTCAACCCTTGAAAAACCTGAAATCTCTTGAGGCTGCTAGGACAAGTGACTGACTTGGACAACCAGACTCTCAACTTGCTAAAAATTGGACAGTTACTTACACTTGGTGCATGAAAAAACAGGAAAACCCGCAATCAACCGTGTTTAGAAATATTACCATAAAAAAAAAAAAGAAAAAAAAACTGAGCTTAGAAACGACTATAAAGCTTGTAATGGTCTATTCATACATTTTAAGATGGCTTCCAGTGTCTCATTGGACGCTGTCATCTCCTTCTACAACGAGCTGTTGCAGTTAACAGAAACTAATTTCAATGAATCTATGTACAACAAAGAATAGAGTTTCATGTCCAGCCTTTGGAAACCCATTCTAAGACATTATCTTTGATTAATTGAAACTTGGGGGCTTCAAATTTACAGTGGGAGTTTCGGGACGTGCGGTATAGATGTCATCAAAATGAAGGCTAACATCCCCTCCAGTTTCAGGATCATCACCTATGTAGGTGGTCCGAGATAACATCTGAGAATCCCTCCAATCGTGGAATTGTTGTTCTTCCGTGCTTCTCTCTGAGAAATTATCATGGTAATTGCCTGGATCAAAGTAGTTGAAATCTGGAGGCTCAAGGAAGCTTGCTTGTGGTTGCCCACCATGAGGACCAGATCTTGCCCACCAATGGCTCTTAGTAGGGTGGGCTGGATCACTTACATCATGATGTCGAAATATGCTGTCACGGAAGAATGGAGCCGAAGTAGATGCTTCAAGATGCGACTGTGATCGATTGGCATAATGATTCCCCCAGTGTTCTTCAGATCTATCTTGCTTAGGCATGAAGCTGGTTGGCAAAAAATGATCTCTAGGCTGTTGCTCGGTTTCTTCAAAAGGGATTGCTGTTGTGTCTCTCGTATGATCAGTTGCATTGTGAAGTTGAGAGGTGTAGTACCAATCAAGTAGATATGGGTGATTCTTCTGGTCTGCTTCAATTAGCCATAAAGAACCCATATGATAGCCGTTATTCTGCAGTACATCCCTTGAGAAAATGCTGATTCTATCGGCATAAGTCCTCATTGGGCTACCTCGCCACAATCTAGGAGGAGAAAATGTAAATCTAGTTCCCTGGCCTTGCAATTTTTGCTCCCTAAAAGTTCTGAGATTTGATAGGAATTGCTTCCCCTGAGCATTTGGTTCCCATGAAGGGTAGCTACTTTGGAAACTGCAGCAAGAATGAAATTATTTCGAAAGAAAATTATGAAATAGAGAGCTGAAAGCAGACTAATTGAACTACCTAGAACAAGAATGCGTTGATTCTCAAGAAAAATAGACAAAGCAAGAAGGTTCATACTAAATTGAGAATATCCAAATGCCTACAATAACTTTTTCCCTCGGCATAGACTATATCTTTAACCCATTAATATTTCAGCAGAGAAGAAAATAACCACTAAAAAGATGCATCTTTCAGTAATAGTAGATTTGCAGACAAAACTGCTGAGAGACAGTAAAGATGCAGATGTCGTTTTAGAATCAATGATGCAATGAACTTTAGAGATGATGATATGTTGTACACACAGGTAGGAGCTTTATCTAATTTATAGTATGATGGCACTAAAAACGAGGCATCTCCAAATAATGCAAATGGGGTTTATCACAGTGAATATATATGTAAGAGCTCAGTCCAATTTTCTTAATCTTGAAAATAGCAAAGAATAATGGGGTCAAATTCATTTAAAATTTGATATAATCATACCTCAAGAATGATTTCTCCATTTTCCCCTGAGAACTTCTCAGTGCACGAGGGGCATCATGTGGTGACCCATAATTGCTATTCCCATGCTTTTCGAAATCAAAAGCACTAAAACTGCCAACAGAGGCAGAATGGTAAAAAAAGGTTGTGTATCACTTGTTGACAATTTAAGTAGAAATCAATTCTCTGATATTTTATGATTAAGGAGCTAGTCCTTGAAATATAAACTAAAAAATAAATAAATAAATAAATAAAAACCCAGAACAGAGTACCTGCAAACATGACCAACACCTTCAATATCCACTGTAAAATCCGCAATGAACCCTAAGATGTCATCCACCCGCTGTGAAATATGAAAAAAATTTTGAGTTAAAATTATCACGTATGGTCCAAAAAACAAAATGACTAGAAAAAAGAAAAGAATAAAACTAACCAGAACAAAAGATTAAATGAATTACCTCTGGGACAACAAATATAAGCAAGAATGGAGTGAGGAAAATGGAAGCCATCTCCTCTAGTAACATCATTCCGGTATACTGCATCACAAAAATTAACAGGTTTACGACAATGATCACTAAAATAGATCAAGAGTATATCATGCAAAGAGCACAGCAAAGGATATAAATCATATCCATTAAGGCAAATGAAAGTTTGATTGTTAGCTAGCTCATAAAAAAGAGCCATAAAGCCCAGAGAAAGAAAATTCTTGTTCTGCTAGGAAGGTAGTTGAGACATCCCTCCTCCCAGATTCTACCATTCATCAAGCATGCAACCTAGCATAATGATAATCCAAACTTGAAAGTCAAAAATAGATTACCTGAAATATGGTTTCAAATTCTATCCTGACTGTCTCAGTAATTTCTTTACCACGCCATCTCTTTGGCATATAATGCGTATGATGCACCACCATAGACATTGCTCCTTCAGGATCAAGGACAAGAAGTTCATCTGTTATGGCAGCCCGGCTAATAGCTGTTATGGTTCCAAAGACAGCAGCATACCAGAACAGATTGCGACCAAATATCTATAGTAATTGAATAAAATGAATTAACCAAACATAAGAGTAATTATGATAAATATAAAAATAATCCAAAATTCTTAAAGCAAAGAAGAGAGACATTACATGGCCCTCTAGCAGAGATTCCTCCAGAAATGCAATGATGATCAAAATAGCAGCAAAGCCACCAGACACAAAAGAGATGAATTTTGCTATAATAGAAATAAGAGGTGAGGGGAATTGCTTTAGATAATCAGAAGCATGCACCACACTGCTGTTGATCCGGTGCTTGAATAAATGGTCAACCTGTCAAGGGAATATGTATGTAACAGAACTTGGCAACAAATAAAAGAAAAAGATAGACTGGCATTTAAATATTCAATTTAAGAGAAATTTTCCAATTTTTCTAAAATCTGCTTTTCTATTTATAAGTGATCTTTCAGAAAACATAAGAATGCAACTTCAAATATTCGATTTACACCCCAAATATCTAATAAAAATAGTTACCCAATATTTTGAAGAAATTCAGTGATGAAACCCTATTAAGCTTGCAGCAAAGCAAAAAATGAATTATGATACAAATAAGAATAATTGTGGAAAAGAGAAGTGGGGATCGTAACTATACCTCATTGAATTCCCTGAACATCCACTTTGATAAATTTGACCATCTTCGAGATGATGCTGTGCTTGGGTGGTTATAAAATTGTTCGGCATGCCTTAGGAAGAGATAAACTAGCATAAATATAACAAGAAACGGAGAAAGCAGAAGCATTGCAAGCCCAACTACCATAAGCCTCTTCTTCAATGTTCTAGGATTAGAAATGAAATCCCTTCTTAGACAGAAGTTTCTGCAAAACAATACACTCATATCAGAAAATGATCACACACTCCATAAAGGCATACATTTATATTGACATTCTTGCATACATCTGAACTTCAAATTTATCCACAAATAAGCAGAGCAGTATTCTACAACTAGACACTTCATAGCAACAGTTTAAAGCAATCGAATTTTATATTTATAATAATAATAAAATGTTTAAAGAAATTAAAATCAACAAAACTACATAAAAGTTTTCCAATGTTGGCCTAATGTTAGTTGCAAAGTACATAATATTCTGCCGACAGAATGACAGATTGCCCACTCTTGTCCACACCCAGCCCTCCAGTCCCCAAAAAGGAGGGGAAAAGAAAGGAAGAAACATATAAGATCAAGACATAAAAACATTTAAAATCCCATAGGGATTTATAATTTTTTGTAGGCATGAATCAACATTACATTCCCTTAAAACTAAACACAAGGCAATAAAACATTATCCAGAGTGCAGCTTTTCAGCACAAAATTCCAACATTATCAAGAGTGCAGGACTCTCAAAGGCAGACTATAATTTTTTCATTAATTTGCCAAAAAGAATTGTATAGATCAATTTTCTTTGTTGAGAGCACTTCCAAATTGTCTAAGACACCGCTGAAGTTGATAAACACATCACCATGTTTTTATCAAGGACTTAAGAACTAAATTTGTTAATACTCCTAGAATGGAGGCAAACTACACACTGAAATCACGGATGCAACTGGTGAGGTTATGCTGTTAAACCAATAAATATCAATCAGAAGTAACCTACTTATTATCAGATGTTTGCATGTAAAATTCATACCTATCAAACATGCTCTGTAATATACACCAATTTAAGGTCCATTCAAGGGTCTTTGTCAGTATTAGGTGATGCTGTCTTCCATTTGGGGCATATTTGACAGTTGGACCAGCACCAGGCACCCATTGTGAGATAGGAAAAGCAAGCACTCCTTTGTTAATCATTCCAATTAAGTAGTTCTCCTTCCGCATCAATCTCATAACCACATCATGAGTAGAAAGATCCTTAACCACACAGAGTTGTTGCGAACTTTGTAGCTGAACAACCTTTTCAAGAATTGTTGCCCATGGCATGGTTTGAATTTCATTGTCAGTAACATGAAGACTGCAAACACCAAAAAAATCTTACATAAGATTCCATAACAAGAAAAAGGCTTCGCTTATTGCAAAAAGAAGGCTTTGAACACAGTTTTAGTCTAATCACATTCATACTACCTGTTGTAGAAAAAGTGACGGATTCCTAGTGTCTCCTTTAATTGAGCAAAAAACCTCAAGAAACAGAATATCCAATAAATGGAAAGTAGCCCCAAATATCCAACAATGATGGACTTTGAAAGTGTTAAAGGAGTTAATGGATGCCGATGAAGTGCTTCTTTAGCAAGATCACATGGCTTAATGCCAGATTCAACCGCATCCATCCCACACTTTGCATTACGTAAACCATTCCAATCAACAAGTAATAAGAAAAATCCAGAGAAAAATATGGTAAATCCCAAGCTCAGCAGCTCAACTATCCACTTGATAATTATGCACCAAAGTCCTTTCTCACAATAGTAGCTGTAGAGCCTTTCAAAGAAGAGGTCTAGGTCAGCAATTGGTTCCACATTCAAGCTCTCACCATTAAGGAGCCCCGAAGGGCTCTCACTGCCGGGACTTGGTACCCTTCTATAGTCTGACAATTCAATCTCAGGAGCCTCATTGCTAAGCAAGCCAGTCTCCAAGGAAGATTCACCAGGCCATGTCCATTTCAATCTGCCAAGAACATTCCCAGCCTTTTGCCCCCTGAACATCATTCACCAATACTGACAGTTGACCAAAACATCCAGTCCATTCCCCAAAATGCATAAATTTTTATGCCTAATGTCTGCAAAGAAAAAGAAATTCAGACCAACCTTCAAGCATGGATGAACTGCTAAATTAGAGACAAATGTAAAGAAAAAAATCAAAGCAATACACCATAAACAGGCATCATAACTAGAGATTAAGCTGAAATAAACATACAGTTTTAGAAATAGAAGAAGTACAAAATTCTTCCAAAAAGTTCACTAATGACATTGAATTCAAATATCTACGAAACATAAGCTGAAGAAAGCTGTAATCGTTTACTTCACTAAACAGTAGGAAACAAGCAACAAGAGCAGCAATGACCACAATGTGGGGGTTCACAGATGCTTCAACACGATCAATGGACCCTGTAGACAAACCATAAATACATATATCTCTACATGCATCAAAAGCATTGACAAAAACTTCAAACCAAGCTAAAAACTTGTGCACAAAATCTGACAGACAACAAGGAAACAAAATTAAACAGAAACAAAAGTACCTAGTGGTTAACATTAAACATCGAAGCCTTGTTCTAATCAAACATCACCATGACCATAATCAAGATCATTACAAACTTCATGAAAGTTAATACCAGCAGGCACCGCAGGAAAAGGAACTAACTTCGGTGAATTAGAAGTCAACCCAAATCCTCAATATAATTACAAATACAGTTAAACCCCTTCAAACCAAGCCACCGCCTGAAATTCATTAATTAAACATTGAAAGAAAATACTGAAAAAAACAAAGAATCTAAGGTTACCCCATGTAATCTCAAAGATAAAAATTTTACCTGTGACCCAGCAACGAACAGCACCGAGAAAGCCTGAAGCAATCGAAAGATGGCTAAAATCAGAAACTTCGATAGATGCCCAGGAAGATTTTCGCAAAGAAACAATCGAAAATCAAACAAACAGGGGATAAAAACCTGAAAATTAAAGATGGGTGAAGACGAATTAGATGTAAGAATGATTAAAGATGGAAACTTTAGTTTGTGAAGGAGCTGAAATTCGAAGGGGGAAGAAAGAGGGAGGGAGGAGGGGAGAGGATTCTTTTTGCGTGGACGAAAATATAGAATTTGTGGGTTGTTTACAATGTGTTATACTCCAATTAACAATGGAATTGGGTTTCTCTACTCTTCTTCTTCCCTTAAGCATAATTTATTTCTTTTTTTATTCTATTATTTTGTTTACTTAATTTTTAGGTAAAGTTCACTTTTCCTCCTCAATAGTTTAAGGAGAGTGAGCTTTGTCCCTATAATAAAAAATATATGCATTTAGCTCCCTTTTGATTCATTCTACCAACCACAAGGGTATTTTAGCTAAAATATTAACATATTAAGCACTTATATTTCATTCAGATTATTGTGTAATCCAAATACTAAAATTACTAAGGTACTTTAATAAATTAACATAAAAAAATATTTATTAAAAATATTTTAGTAATTTCATTATTTTACAATTTGAATTGTACTTTTTTATGCTAGAAAAACACATTTTTGTGAGCATATTTGGGGCTAAGTGCATGTTTTTAAGAGCCATTGTTGTTTTTCCAAAATGAAAACATCTCCATGGGTCCTGGGCCAAAAACGCAAACCAGAAAGGGTTATATGCATTTTTTTTGCAATTGAAGAGGTAAAGAGCACCTGTTTCAAAACGGATGTGAGTAAAGGCAATTTTTCCCCTTTTTACATTTTTTTTATAAATAATGGTGAATAGTACCTAACTGAAAAGAGGAATTTCTTCTCGGTTAAACAACCGAATGGATATGGGGCTGTTGGAGACTCTAACTTATTGGGCTTAATTTTGTAAATTGGGTTTATCCACATTTCAGCCCAGTAAATCATAGTTGGGCCAACGCTTATAATAGGAGCTATGCTCATGGCCATACAAACGCTTTAAAGTCACATATGTATACGATAAAATATATATATATATATATATGAACAAATTGTCATGGGCAGGCTTGAAACCAATGTTTTCAAAACCGAATTGGTTATTGAACCGTTTTTAGGTTCGATTTTCGGTTTGATCGGTTCAACCGATTGAACAGATGAACCGATCGGTTCAAACAATAAGGAAGGTTTGATGAGAGGAGCAAGCTATAGGCATGGATTTTTTTATTTGGTGTTGATAATTTTGTAATTTTGTTAAAGTTAAA